ATGTGCTGGCACCATCATGCAAAAAATATATATTTGATCAGTCAAGTGAGAGAATGTTCTCATAATTCTCCCCATGCAATCTGAAATACCCGAAGGTGAATGTTCGTCTTCAAAATACTGAAATAGTGAATTCACCTGTTTGAGAGAAAGAATGGACAAATTAGTCTTGTCTCCTAAAATTCCGGCCCACACAATAATACTGAAGTGCACCTAATGACGACTTACCGTTATCTCATTAGGGTTTTCATCTACAATAGCTTACTCTTGTGGAAAAATCTGCTGGAACAAGAGCTTGTACTTCAATGTGGTTATGATACAACAGCTGTGTATGAAGCGTTAATCAGACTATTTGAGGACTAACCTGTTCCATCAAAGCTATCCTCCGAACTGGGCTTCGAATCCTACGATCGCGACCGCCATAATTTGTCTAATTTGGAACGTCCCTGTCTCTGTCAATGGTTAGTGAATTCGAATACAGCCGGCGAGCTTCTTGGCTATTTTCACCCGCCCTTCCATATATGAAATGTATTTCGCTTATTTCAACGTTACTATAAAACATTGTTGTTTATGCTTAAAGCATTTGATTTTACTGCGAAGTATACCGCTCGAAAAGCAAAGTACCTACTAAGCACCAAAAAGTGAAAGCAAAGAAATATTGTTTATATAAATAACTTTCTGTTTCCTTTCCTCTGCCAAATACGGAGTCTAACGACATGAATATTTGTTAAAATCTAACCAAAATTGCCACTGAAAATGACGTTTTCTATACTCGAAACATGTAGGCCTCTTAAACGTGATTAAAGTATTTGATGAAGGAACACTGTGTTTTCTTTTGGAATTAAAAAAATATTCGATATGAAAACATTTTAGTTTTCATTATCATCCATATTTAATATTTTTCAAACATCTGGTGAAATCTAGATAGGTACACCACCATTTACCATTGAGTGCATTGCAAATTTTTACTGTTAATATCTCGAAAACTGTTTACAATAGCGAGTTGAATAACCAGCCTTTTTCACGTAAAAAAGTTCTAGCTTTTCATTATCTGCGTTAAAATTACTGTATTCAATAAGATAAAAAAGTTTTGTGCGAAACAACCCTCTAGGTACCCTTATGAAAACTACCCTTTCAGAACTGTTACGGTTTTTTTTACTGTCCCCCATTCGCTTTGACATTAAAATGTATGCGAGAATAAAAAATTTCAAGAAGAATGGGGCGCTGACCTTAAAAATACATAAAATGTATTATAGTTAGAAGGGCTGTAACTTCTTTAGGAAGTATCCTAGGTCATAGGCATGGGGACTTTTTTTTCAAATTTTCATATGCAGTGTCTTTTGTAAAGTTGGGCCATGCCCGTTGAAAAATAAGCATAATAGAAAAAGACAGACTTGTGCGGTTTGGGAATGTGCTGTGCTATTGCTCTGCTTTTCAATATGATGGTAAAATGCTACTGATGTGATCGCAGATATTCCTTTGGTATCTGAAGTGATACTTTAGCTTCAGGGAGATATCACGAATCCATTGGCCCAATATTTTTTTTTTATGATTCTTTCAGTAGGTATACATTGACTTTTGAAGTTACTGAAAGAGCAGGATCAGTGAGCAACCGGAACGGATCGGGAAAATCGAACAAGAAAATGCCGCTCGACAAACGTGCAAATTTTCAAAAAACAGGATAGTAACTATTTCGAGCAGACATTTTTATGGTAATTATTTAATGATCCAAAAATTCTTCTCTTTGCGAGAAGGTGATGCACTGCAACCTGATGTGTTGTTCCACCATTGTTTACAAGCATTATAAACAAGGCTATCATAAAAGCTTGGAGGATATTTCAGATTGTCAATGCAGAAATTATTATCAGGTAGTCTTATCCATCTTTGAAAGAATGATATGTCATAATTTTTTGGTTTGTCACGAAAAATTAATATACAAGAGCAGACTGGTCGTTGGTCAAATACCAGGAATTGTACGAAAATATTAAGCTGGCCATTTTCGACTAAAATTGGAATAAGAGTCAGATGGAGTTGTTGAAAGAGACTGTTTGTCATTAACCATCAATTTGTTTGTTGTTTTAATATCAAAAATTTCATTTAAATGTTTTCTTGCCTATAGTTTCAAAAAGTATGACACTTGCTCCATTAATTTAGATAATTTTTTTAAACCTTTCATCTTCCGAAAATGGATTTAATTCAATTTTAAGCTTCAAATAGCATAATATTTCACAGAAATTATAAAAAATTGGCGTTTTCGTTCGAAATATATTTTTGTGTAATGAGTAGGTACAATAACCCCCTAGGCTTAGTTATTTTTAATAACCCGCATTTTCACGTAGGTAGGTACTTTTTTGATTAGTTATAGCAAGTATCATAAAAATTTTGATAGATATATTCTTATTCTACCTTCAGTTCTCCTGGCTCCCAGCAAAAATTATAAATTGGTTTTGAAGAATAATGAGTTAAGTTACTAAGTAAACAATGAATGTGTGCGTAATCAGTTGATTCTGGGTAATAATCAAATTTTAAGTGGTTTTGATAAATGATAAAGTAATTACTTTTGTCGGCAAATTAACTAAACTACTTGAGATTCTGGAAAATAAAAACTAATTGACTCTAGTTTTTTAAATATTATATCGAGGAATAATTAAGTACCTATAGTTGATAATAATTAATGGCATCATGTGTTGCTATTGTGAGCAGTTACAAGTCTAGAAATGTATACTTTCAGTTCGTACCAAGTTTGTTAAGTCTTGTTTAAAAGTACAAACCAACCCTATTTTAATATAGGTACGATACGAATTACTCCCGACCTTCCATCAACGAATATTATCAACCAATAATAAGAAACATGTTCCGTTGTATTTTTTGACCCAAAGTTACATAGGTATTCGAAAACGACCCCAATTTTGATAAAACAGGTCCACAATTAACAATTATAACCTCTTGGTAGCCGCCATTTTGCCAGTGGGCGCCATCTTGCTCCAATGGGTCCGAATAGGGTGTCATGCGAGTCAAATCGCTTATAATTGTGAAAAAATCAAATGTACCAAATTTCATGCTTTTATCACAATTTGCAAGATTCTGCCTATTTTTTTGATTAACCGCCCAGACTAATGATGGTAAACTGAATATGTAATGAAGGTAATGTACTTAGGTGACGATGGCGTGAGGGTAAAGGCCAGTTTACATTTTGTTAACAGCAAGTGTTTAGTGTCAAATGTTTATTTGACATCGTTGAGTGTTACTAAACAGAAAAATAGAACACGATTTGATTTACTTGCACTTGTAGCTTGCACTTATCACTTAACACTAATCACTTGACAGATCCGTTTACAATTCGAAAACTAGTTGTAAACCGGCCTTAGGGTAAGTAAGGATTAGTTAAAGTCTGCAACAAAAAAGTAGCATTGTAAAAGGGGCACACATGCCTTAGCGCTCTTAGCTTGCTGGAATTTACCTGATAGTGATAGGCTTTAGCGGACGATTGTTTGATTAGAATCCTATTACTGGCTCAAAGTATAAATTTATGTAATCCAGCATACTGATGTCTTCTCAACGAGAATTTGAGATTCTATACTTGAAAAAATGGCTTTAATCGCTTGTGGAGTGACCACATGATCTGTTCTAAGTCAGGGAAAGGGCCGAGCACTATCACTGGTGTCTCACTTTTATAGAATTGGAATAGTCAACTAGAACCCGAAAAAAAATATTCTATTTCAATTTAAGTGAAGAATTATTTTTTAGGGATTGCAACGTATACAAATGCTTAAAGGTTTTGTTCCTACTGAATTATATTTTTTGAAGAAAAGGAATAAGGCAATCTGAAAAAGACAAACATAATATCCCTCACTTCCTCTATAGGAAGTAATATTATCAGGATCAGTGCACTAGATTCGGTTAGATCGCGGGCCAACGGCTAGACCATGGTTAATTTTTGTACTGAGCTTAGACAAGTCTAAATAGAAGCATTCGATGAAACTAAACTTGTAAATCCCCCCATGTATTGAAAGCTTTAATTATTTGTTTTGTTTTTCTTCATAGTCATACTTCTTATTTTTTTCCCAATACTATCACCTGCTAAAACCTGAAGGCCTATTTATAAACTTGACGTTGCAATTCCGGTACCGTTTGCGCCTGCCGTTGTGAACATAAAAATATAGGATTCCATAAGATCGTTTATATTCGCGGTCGGCCTCACCGTCCGCCGTTAGCTCTGCCGTTGCATTCCGTCAGACATAAACCAATTTTATCTTTTCCGTTGTCGACATCTGTAGCAAGTCATGCTACAGTTTAGAGAGCCAATCAAAACGGATTTTCACCAGTCATGTGATGTTTACCACAAATGTCATCCTGCTGAGGTGGGAGAGGGGAGAGATTATTTTGATTTTTCGAATTTTAAATTTTGTTTGGGTTGATGTTAATTAATTATCAAATCAGTAAAATCACCACCAAATCTTCTAAAATCGTCCAAATCACTCACAAAATGACAAAATGAGGGCACACGCACAAAATAGGTTATGTTTATTATTTACTTTTTGAGAACGTCGGACGGCAAGTTTATAAATGGTCCAATTTTTGTGGCTCGGACGGCGGGGCTAACGGCGAGCCCGTCTGTAGGCGCAAACGGTAACGGAATCGCAACGTCAAGTTTATAAATGGGCCTTAAAACTGCCTTTAAATAAGAACCGAGTTTACCTTTTAGGCAATATTCAGCCATCCAACAGCATTATGGTTTCAAACGGGAAGCCAAATTGCTATAAAAATAAAATAAAAATTCTAAGCCCCAACGAACGCAATTTAGTTCTCATCCTGCTTAAAATTGGATTTAATCTGCCTGATCTTTAGAGGTCGTTTGAAATATAAAAGTTTACTGAATAATTTTTGTAGTAGGTACTCAAATTATTTACATTTCACAGTATCTTCAACAACTCGTAAAATGTATTTCTTGAATTTATTCATCTTTTCTATGAAAAAAAAATAATAATAGAAAATAAGTATATGTATTTTATTTTTAAAAAACGTGCATAGATAAATCACCTTTGTAAATTGCAATTATACTTGATATCAGATAGGAAATAGTTTTCCAATCACTTATTTTTTTCTTAAATTAAAATAACCAAAACCAAAGTTAAAATCAAGTTTAAATATTTTTATTTTCTACCATTATCCACTAGGTATATTATGTATAGTGTGGATTATTTCTTTGATGCCAATTTTCTGTAAAATTGCTTTATATCCAGTATTTCTTCTTCTCTTTGGATCTCACGAATTTCATGTTTCTTATGATGGTTTTTGGACTCATTGGAACTGCTAGAACTACTGGTGCCACTGGAATGGCTGTGATGATTATGATGACCATGATGATGATGATGATGATGATGATGATGATGATGATGATGGGAACTGCTTGAATCACTGGAGCCGCTAGAATCGCTGTGATGATGATGATGATGAGAACTGCTTGAATCACTGGAGCCGCTAGAATCGCTGTGATGATGATGATGATGATGATGATGAGAATTGCTTGAATCACTGGAGCCGCTAGAATTGCTGCAGCTATCGGATTCGCTCGAGCTGGAACTATGATTGCAACTTTCAGAGCTTTCAGGTGTAGTTGTACGAGGTGAACGCGTTGGGTGTGTAGTACGTGGTGTCCTTGTTGTACTATGCGGTGCACGTGTGGTATGACGTGAAGGCGTTGGTTGTGTAGTACACGGTGTGCTTGTTGTACTATGCGGTGCCCGTGTGGTACTACGCGAAGGCGTTGGTTGTGTAGTACGTGGTTTCCTTGTTGTACTAAGCGGTGCTCGTGTGGTATGAGGTGAATGCGTTGGTTGTGTTGTATGCGGTTTTCTTGATGTACTATGCGGTTCACTTGTTGTACTGGGCGGTGTTTGTGTTGTACTAGAAAGGGATGCTGGCGATGTACTAGTTATTGTAGAGGTTGATTTGGTAGTAAGTGGTTCCGGTGTTGTACTAGGTGGTGAACCTGTTGTTGCTGGTGGTTCAGTTGTAGCAGGAGATGGCGTAGTTCTTGTTGTAGGAGCAGGTGATGTTTTTGAGTCGGTAGAAGTTTCTTGTGTTGGAACCTCAGTTGACCATCCCCGACCAGTACAGTGAGCAACTGTTGGATATACGCAAACGTTAGCAACTGGGTCAAACTCTAATCCAGATGGGCATTCAAATAGATATGGAACACCATTGGAACACTGCCAAAATTTTGAACAATTGACTGCCGGAAAGTAAACGGAATGACCATCATCGGATGCTGGACAATCTTGGGCTGGAGCAAAAAAAAGTATATGATTTTGAGGTTAAAGAAAAAAAAAACGTTTCCGATACTACAAACCAAAGGCAATTTTTCTTCTCAATACTTACGGGTTGGTTCATACACATCTTCTATAGCCAATTGCACCTGCTGGAAGGGTACTGCAAAGAAATTTATTTTACTGAAACATATTTTTTTTCTTAATGCAAAGTACAACAAAATTATTGAAAACAGGGAGTTCATGAACAATTATGTTATTGCAATATCTTACAGGCAAAACTTGCGCCAAATATGGCGAAGAAAACTAAACTGCTACACAGCCTTTTGTTCATCACTCTTCAGGATTGCAACCACAAATAAATGATATTTAATCAAAAGATAATCTGGATTATTTAGTAAAAATTGCATGTATTGCCTTTTATAATCTACTCAGTAACGTTATCGTGTATTCGTTGCTGAAGTGATTTGTTTGAAGTAGATACTCGAAAATATTATCTGTGCAATATTTTGGGCCAAGTCCGGTTATTAAATGATTATATCGAGTGTTTAATAATTTTGATGCTCGGGTCGCCTATGGATGGTAATTGTCACATGTCTTGGCTAACTCTGCAAAAATTATTACATGACAGTTCTGGTGATAGCCGTCATCCGGCAATCCTCCACTTTCTAACTTGTTGCATTCTTTTTGAGTTTCCGAGACACACAAATCAAAATCAGTTCTTTTGTGAATTTCAGTAGGTACCTACCTACTTTGTTAGTATACCGGTATGGTTCATTCAAATTCAATAATAAAAAAAATCACAGATTTCGCAATCCTTGCAACCATCGGGGACATTGGAAATGATAATACCGGTATGTGGAACATATTTAACACAAGATATATATTTATTTACGTCATTGAGATACACAACTCGTGCTGCGCACTTGTTGTGTAACTTCCACACGCGTATCTTAAGTATGCTGTTAACTCACTTGTATCGTAAATATCTATTATTTTATTGAAATCCTCATCTAATAGAACACGCGCTAAACGCTATCATTTTTGTCCGATTATCTCACACTTCATTGTGTGCTATTTGAAAATTTGACTTTGACACAGAACTGAATGTTTTGAAAGCAAGTTTCCAGGAACACTACAGCAAACAGCAGAAATAGAGCAAGTTATCAGAATGCTGGCGAACTTCATGAAGAATTTGGACGACAAAAGACTAGAAGAAGAAGACTAAAGACAGAAAGAAAAACGAGAAGCAGAAGCCCGAAGACAGACAGAAGAACAAGAAAAAGAAGACCAAAGACAGAAAAGAAAACAAGATAAAGACTAGAGACAGAAACAAGAAGGACAGAACCGGCTTGCGGCACTTCTACAACCAGAAGAAAACCGAAGACATAAAGACAGACAACAAGAGGAAGCTTGAGGAAAAGAAGAACAGGATCGGCTTCAGGAAAAGTTTAAATTCCAGCGAGAATAGATCTAAACCGTAATATTTGAGAACAAAAAAGACTCGATGAAATTCCAGAAGTACAAGATAATAAATTCACGAATGCACTGTTTATAGAACGTGAAGAAGTTGGGATTGTGCATCAGATGGTTGAAAGTGTTCATCTAGAAGTTGGAACTTTCCGTCAAGAAATGGATAGTGTTCAGAATAAAATCAAGAAGTTGGAATCTGACTTGATCAGGAAATATCTCCTCTTTGCTTGCATCTGGTATTAGTTAAGCCACCACCATATGACGGACAGTGTGGGCCATAAACAGACGTCAATTCAAGACACTTGCAATAGCTTATGGTTGGAGCTCTGATGACATGGCTACAGGGCTGATTGCAGCATTGCCTGGTCCTGCCTTAGACGTGTTAGAGACCCTTCCGCCAACTTTCCAAGAAAACTATGGTGCGCTTGTTGATGCGTCGTTTTGGAGATCAACGCCGAAGGCAGCTTTACCAGATACAACTAAGAACAAGGCAACAAAAAAAGAATTAAACTGAATTTTCACAAAGCAATGGACCTATTCATCAATTCTTACTTCATTGATGCTAAATTTGCAAAACATCTATCCAAATCTCCCTCGTTTCTAAAATCACGCTGCATTACGCTACGTTGGGCCCATTGGGATCACCAGCCGTATTTCGGTCGAATACTGATGAGCCGACCCTTCAATTGCTTCAGGCCCCCAATTGGCGGCGTCTTTTAATCTGCTAACAGCAAAGGTGCGGCAATAGTGAGATTTTTAATTTTCAACAATCGCGTTTTTTGTCAAGCAATTTCAATGTATTGTGGGAACTCTTGTCTCGATATTTCTATAGCGCTCAACAAACTCCTTTATGAGTTGAATCAACTATCACTTGCATATAAACAAAAAAAAAGGTATTGTATTGCATTGCGTATCTCAATTATTTTTAGTACCACGATGTTTGCATACTTCACATGCAGCCATCGGCAAAAAAAAAAACAAAAGCAATTTCTGAGTAGGTAGCATGTACGTACTTTCCAGCATCATTCTGCTTCTTTGTGATTATTTTGCAAACAATATTGGAAATGACGTTTATAAGATATTCGTATCAGTTCCAGTTTGAACACACCACACCAAAAAAATACTTGCTCCAATAAGCAAAAAAAAAAGTTTTCCAGAAAAATCGTTTATTACACTGGTGAATTTTTGTGGGGTTTTTAACGTAGTATGATTTTCAGTTTGCAATAGATGACACTGACCGATTATTCCGAAATGCCGAAATAACTCACTAATACCTACGTCATTGCTATTTCTTGGACGCTTATTGATATCATAAAACGGCGATGACTACAACAAATTACCCAAAAATTACAAAATACCCAAAAGCGAAAATTTACCCAAAAGTAAAAACAAAGTAATGTTCTCCAAATTGTTTCCTTTTTTTATTACCAAATTGCACGGCACTAACAAGCGAAATTCCTTTGCTTCAGTGTCTTTGTCGATTTCTTTAGAGCTACTCACTAAAGGGTAATTTGGGAATTTAAACAATATAGGCAACCCAAAATAACCCTATATTATTCCTATGTTGAAACTCAAGTTTTATGTAAGAGATATATGTTCGTTAATAAGAAAGCTTGTTGAGTCAGCACTAAGACTGGACTGCTTCTAATTTAGGATATATTTATAAAGAAAACGAGCCCTCAATCAATCCAAACCATATCTGGCCAAGTCAACTATTAGGTAATTATGTATTTAGAAAATTGTTGGAAAATATCTTCGGAAAAGCAGAAGTGTTTAACCATCCATTAAGTAATAATCAGGGTATAGGAATAAGTTTGCGGTAATGTAGAATACTTATTCATTTACGCAGTTCCAATGAGGGAAAAAGTATGTACCTACCCTTTAACAGACTGCTCACACATTAAAAGGTGAAGAATGAAGGCTTTCACGGCCGGTCAAATCTAGTAAAAAAAGTTTTTTCCGGACTATAATGCCGTGGTCGAGTAATATTTCTACCCAACGTTTCGTCTACTTCTGCGGTAGACATCTTCAGAGGTGGTGTGGTAGAGGACGAAGTGTTCTCTTCCGTGTTCCTCCGATGACTGGTCCCAGTCTTCTTCTCTTTGCTAGAATTCTGTTCCAGGACATCCTGAACGGATGCTGCAGTCGTTTTTGAAATATGTTTTATAATCTACTTAGTAGTTACCTAAAATAAGATACATTCAAAATAACTTCCAAGAAATCTACAAAAACATGTATTTCAAACTTGAATTTCAGGGTCGCAACAAGGTCAACACGAAAAAAGATTGCTCAATATGTTGTTAGAAACGTATAATGTTTTGGAAAGACCAGTAGCAAACGAGTCGGAACCTTTGGAAGTCAAGTTTGGCCTAACTTTGCAGCAAATCATTGACGTGGTAAGTGAAAAAAAAAAAAATTATTAAATTTTAAAATAAACTAATTTTAAGATAACAATTTTGCTGGAACTAGGAAATCTAGGGGAAATCAATTTAAGGTCTCCTAATTTTCATTGGCAAAATTAGAAAAAAAAATTAACACCTCCCTGTTGATAAAACTAACTTACATCATGAAAACTGTGATAGAAAAATCTCGATGCAACGATAAAAGCGCGCATGCATAACTTTGACGTTAAATTTTAAAATGTAATGTTATGTGAAGAGTTTTTAAAAGCGGCAGCTCTCATTCTATCAAGCCATCTAAGTATAGGGTGACAATTTTAAAACTGGCAAGGCGCTTCATCGTAGTAGGGACCTGACTACCTCACTGCCACCATTGAAACCATCTTGAATGGCAACCGCCTAAAGGTTGAGACACACATGACCGGGCCATGTCAGGACCGAGCCTCGGACGAGAAATGCCCTTGTTCCGGCCCGGTGCTCTAGAGACCACACATAACCGAGGCTCGTCAGTGTTTTGGTCGTTTTCTTTGTAGTTGATAGTCAATAATAAAAAATTTCACACAAAAATCGTCGTTCGTCACGTGAAAAATTAAACAAAACAAATTCCGTCCGGCGCGCTCACGTCTCGGTGACGTTATTCGGACACGGCCCGGTCATGTATGGACCGATAGATTTATTTCAACGTATTAAGGATGCTTCATGGTACACCATGATGGGCCCGAGCCGTGCGTCAGTGAAGCCACGGGCAAACATTGTCAGGTAACTTTGCACATATGCATTCATGCTAGACCGAGCACGATCCGAGCCTCCGCCGGGCGTGTCCGTGCCCCGTCACAGAAATGCTCGGGTACATTTTTTCCACGGATCCGCTGCGTTCCCGGTACGTTGCGACAAGCATGAACATTCTTCCGGGCACGAACCGTAATGTATGTTGAATACTCGACTGGGAGGTACCGAGTTGTAGTATATTCGGCACAGACGCGATCCTCGTTCACAACGCGGTGTAACATACAGTGTGTCCGTAAAGTAACGGATAAATTCATTTAAAACGTAACCATATTTTTTTCAGAAAAACGCTCGGACACGTCGATCTTAATTTTTAACGGCGCTATTTTTAAACTAATTTGTAATTATACAGGGTGACCCAAAAAAGAGATACCACGTGACACTTAATTTTTTTTAATGAAATGCCCTGTATATTTTGACGAATATGTAATATATTTATTAATAACTTTTAACTATTAGAAATGGATATTTAAAAAAATCTAAAATCTGACAATCAACTATGACAACTCTAAACATGAAAGGTAGCAGGTAGCATGAAATTACAGGAGCACTCAAGTACCTAAATAAAGTTCTATGTGTTAGGAATCGCTTTACCGCTGCCACCAATGTTAGGAATCGGATTACCAATGTTGGGAATTGGGAATTAGCCGATGCCACGAATGTTGAGTACTTCGATAATTAAAACTCGGTTATTGAATAAAAATGCTTCGTTTATTAAAATACTCGTTGAGGGGGACACTTAGTTAAAATGTTGAGAGGCAACCCGACTGTTCAAAGTGAAGCTTGAAATCTGAATGTGATGTTTTCAGCGTGAAGATGGAAGTCTGAATGTGATGTTTTCAGCGTGAAGATGGAAGTCTGAATGTCCTTCTCTCCAACTATCTGCCACCCAGGCAGACAAGTTTGGACCTTTCGAAAAAGGGTATTTTACAGTTTCCTAAAATTAACTTATCCTTTTTACAAAGTTTATGAATGTGCTGAAATCTATTTATTAGGTACTATATTACTTAGAAAGTTTGTACAAGTGTGAACGATGACGTAACCTAAGGGACTAAGGGTCCGGATACAATAAAAGAAGGTCGGGTCGGTATGATAATATTGGGCCGACAAAGGCATCGTCGGCCTCTCATTGGTTACAATAAAACAAATTAGAAATATAAGAATAATCAAATGTTAATACAATTATTGCTGTGCTATAATATTGGAGTTACAACATATGTTAAGCAAACATCTATGTTTGGCCAAACCTTATCAAGATCAATATCTTACAATTCTTCCTTTAATTAAAAAAGCTTACAAATTAAGTTTAACTGGTGGTTTAATTGACCTACCATATCTAGATCTAGAAGTCGGAGTAGTAACAGGGACAACAACTGCTTTCGGAGCATTTTGAAACTTTGTATTTGATTCTCTAGTATAGACATTAAACTGATTATTACTAGTTTGACCTAGATCAGAGTTATAGTTTGTGGACACTGGTACCTCCGCGACTTCTGTTTGAGATACATTTCCAGATACTGTGGAATTATTTGTAGACACAATGGGAACAGTCACATTTGGTGAATTTGGTATATCCAGTCTATCATTTATACTAGTAGCGTTATTTCTGTTATTGGTCACTTCTGGATACATTGCACTGCAGTTACGAATGTCATTTGCATGTACAAGCTTAATACTATCAGAAACTTGCACAAGATAAGTACAATAGCTCATACACCTAACTATTTTACCTTTTTGCCATAATTTAGTATGAGCATTTTTAACATATACAATGTCATTCTCAGAATAAAGTTTGAGTGTTCTAGCAATGTCAGACCTAAGTTTAGCTTGTTGATTTGCACAAGGCTTTATCAAGTCATACCGAGTACGAGGTCGAAATTTGAATAAATTCTCAGCTGGCGACAATCCAGTTGAAGTGGAAGGTGTATTTCTATGCACAAATAAAAAGTTTTCTAAACGATTTGAAATAGTATTCTTATCAATACTCCTCCCCTTTTCAAGATTTATCTAGACCTTTCTTCACAGTTTGAACTGATCTCTCGGCAATTCCGTTACTTTGTGGGTGATATGGTGGACTTCTTATAAATTTGATTCCATTTGCCTGACAGAAAGCATTGAATTCAGTTGATGAAAAAGGAGGTCCATTATCGGATACAAGTTCTCTAGGTAACCCGAAAGTTGAAAATATTTCTTTTAACTTTAAAATAGTTTCTTTCGCACTAGTGCCATCTTGCAGTAATTTCACTTCTACCCACTTAGATTTGTTATCAACTAAAATTAAAAAAATATAATTATGTTTATAAAAGAAATCAATATTGACTCTATAGAAGTTACTGGGTGCACTTGGCCACGGTAAAAGAGTACTGCTGTTAAAAAAAAATTGTGTTTCCTGACAGACAGCACATGAACTTATAAATGATTCTATATCCTCATTCATTCCAGGCCACCAACAATAAGACCGCATGAGCATCTTTGTCCTAACAATACCCAAATGCTGTTCATGGAACAAATTTAAGATCTCCTTCTGCATTTGTTTTGGAATAACCACTTTATTTCCCGCTAACAGACACCCAATTTCTACAGAAAATTCTAATCTTCTTTTGAAATAAGGTTTCAAATTAACATCGTTTATGAAATTTGGCCAACCAGAAAGAGTAAAATCTAGAACCTTTGATAAAATAATGTCTTTTTTTGTAGCTGTCGCTATATGGGTGGAATCTAGTGGAACTTCGTAAGTTAAGTTGAATGAAAAAATAGCATCAGTTATATCCGTATTCGTTTTCATAGGTAACCTTGACAAACCATCTGCATTTGAAATTGAAATCCCTTTTTTATACACAATATCATAATCGTATGCAGATAAAGATATAGCCCAACGTGTAATGCGTGCTGCTGCTGTAACGGGAATACTTTTATTTTTACCAAATATAAATTGTAATGGTTGGTGATCTGTTATCAAAGTAAATTTCCTGCCAAATATATATTTATGAAATTTTTTTAGACTAAATATTATGGCTAAGCTTTCGCGTTCCAAATTTGAATACCTTTGTTCGACATCAGTTAGAGTACTTGAAGCGAAAAGAACAGGCCTCTCCTTTCCATCAATTTTATGATTCGACACGGCTCCTACTCCGTATCCACTGGAATCACAAGTGATAAAAATTGGCTTGGTAGGATCAAAATGAGTGAGGACATCATTTGAAGACAATAGTGTCTTACTTTCTTGAAATACTCGTTCACACTCATCCGTCGAAAGAAATTCTGTGCTATTCTTAGACAAATTATACAATGGTTTAAGTTTGGCAGACAACATGTGGATGAATTTTCCATAATAGTTTAAAATTCCTAAATATGATTTTAGTTGATTTACGTTTTGAGGTGAAGGTGCCTTTTGAATACACTCTAATTTCTCATTTGTTGGATGTATACCTTGATTATATATTTTATGACCCAAAGATTCAACAGACTGTTCAAAAAATTTTTTGCTCATTTATTTTGACATTAAACTCCCTTAACCTTTCTAAAACTTTCCTTACATTCTTATGACATTCTTCTAAATTAGACCCATGTATTATTATATCATCAAGGTAACACTTGGTCTTTGATAAATTGGATAAAATTGCATCCATTATACATTGAAAGATACCAGGTGCTGAACTTATTCCATATGTTAACCTGTTATACCTAAAAAGACCAATATGAGTATTGATAGTAAAAAGCTCTTTGGAAGATTCGCTTATTTGCAGCTGCTGATAAGCTCCCTTCAAATCTATTACACAAAAATAATTTCCTCCACTAAGACTAGCAAATATATCTGATAGTAAAGGTAAAACACAATGTTCGCTATCTATTGCCCTATTAATGGTTTTTTTGAAATCAACACAAAGTCTTATATCGTTCGAATTTTTCTTGGGTACAATAACAATTGGACTAGCCCATCTGCTGTGAGTTACTTTTGATAACACCCCCCAATCTACCATTTTCAAAAGCTCTTGTTCAACTTTGGGTTTCAAAGAGTACGGCATTTCATAGGATCTATGAAAGATAGGCTTACACCCCTCTTTAACTTTAAATTCAGCTTTAAAGTTTTTGATGAAGGTATAAGGTTCATCAACAAAAAGATTATGGAAATCTGACTTTAATGAAGAGACCAACTTCTGTATGACATTACTAGACTCAACTTCCTTATTAAAACATTCAACATAATTTAATTTATTTACAACTACACTTTTGTCTAAAACACTACTGTGCCAATTGACATTAAGAATGTTTAACCAATTACGGCCCAAAAGAGGAATAAATAGTGTTTCAGATTTTAAAATTACCAGAGGCAAACAAAACATTTTATTTAAGTATATTACGTGTATGAAAACCTGTCCTAAAATTTCCGCTTTTTAACCTGTTAGAACACGTAAATTGAAATTAACTGGTTCCAAAACTAGATTGGAAAATAGTTTTTTAAAGTCTTTTTCATGCATAACTGTACGAACCGCCCCTGAATCTACCTCCATTTCCACTCTATGACCATCTAACATCAAACTAACCTTTAAAATATCAGCCACTTTAGTTTTCAATGATTTAATAGTACACTCACCAAGATCTTCTGATAACATACCTAATTCTAAATGATCATCGGCATCATCTGCCCTGGCACAATCTTCAGTATTGGCTTGTACTTCCTACAATTCCTGGATACGGTTCCGGCACATTAAGGATCGGGCTGTGTGGCCTATTTGTCCACAAGCAAAGCATTTCCAGGAAATAGCCGGACAGTTATTATTGTTAAAATGATTACGACTACATCTCCTACATGTCTGGTTTTTGAATGATACAGCATTATTTGTTGAACCAAAATTTGCCCTAAACTGACCCATTACCTTAGGCCTATTATTGTTTAGACTTAGGTTTGGACCTTGAAAGTTTGGTTTTTGGTAAATCTTGTTGACTTGACTTAAATCTCTTCAATTGTCCCTCTGCTAGTTCAATTCCAATAGCTGTAGTATATGCTTGTTCGAAAGTTAACCCAACTTCAGTAAGAAGTCTACGCTTAATACTATCTGACAAGAGTCCACAGACTAATCTGTCCCTTAATGAATCATTCAAAAAATCTCCAAAGCCACAATGCTTGGCAAGATTTTGCAAACGAGCAGCAAAATGATTTATATCTTCATTTGATTCTTGGTGTGCTGTGTGAAATTTATACCTTTCGGCAATAATTATTCGTTTAGGACTATAGTGTCTTTTTAGTTGGTCTATCAATTCAGCATATGTTTTCTGACTTGGTAATGTTGGCGCTAATAGATCCTTCAATACACTATATGCTTCTCCTCCTACAAAAGTCAGTAGCATAGCAACTTTTTTTTTCTCGGCTACATCATTGCACATGAAGAGCTGTTCAAGCCTCTCAATATAGGCTGTAATTTCGGTTTCCTTAGGGTTGAACGTTTCTATATTTCCAATAAATGCCATTCTTCAGAAAAACGTTCATCTACCTCAAAAGTCCTCAAGATGTAGGTAGGAATAATTATAAATGATTCATTCAACGAGAATGATGAAAAACCCAAAAAAAAAAAATAAACTCGGTCCAGACGAATCACAATTTGACAGAAATAATAGTCATAAAAATCTCACCAAAGTCTCGTAAAATTTCCAGTACATACAACACTCTGCATAAGTCGTTTCTCGTCTACTCGTCGCCAATAATGTTATGAATTTATTAATAACTTTTAACTATTAGAAATGCAGATAATTTATTTAAAAAAATCTAAAATCTGACAATCAACTATGACAACTCTAAACATGAAAGGTAGCAGGTAGCATGAAATAACAGGAGCACTCAAGTACCTAAATAAAGTTCTATCGGGTCTTCAAAAAAAAAAACAATCAAAGATTGCTCTGATTACGAAAACGTACGTCGCATTACTGTTTCTTTATTGGTCAGGATTTTTGACATGACATTTTGACATTAAAGTTCATTGACAAAATTAAAGAAAAATATAGCTAAGACATACGTTTGAAAATCCATAGCAATCTTTGATTGTTTTTTTTTTTTGAAGACCCGATATATTAAGCAAACATCTATGTTTGGTCAAACCTTATCAAGATCAATATCTTACAATCGATAGAGCTTATCGAGATGAATTCAACGATATAGGGTTTGGAAGGTCTAGCTTGAGCAATTTGTTGACAAACACTTTACGCAGCAGTAATAAATATGCAATGCTCAGTAATTATGATTTATTTTAATGACAATGCTAAGAAACGGTAATAAGGTAATAACTCACTATTTAATCAAGTGTTCGAATTGAAAACCCTCTTGAACTTGACAGAAACCTAAGCGATTGATGAATTCCTCTTGAACCCTGCTTATAGTTTCTCGAGAATGGTGATGCCGCGAGACTCGAGACTGGTCTCGTCTCGTCTCGTCTCGACTTTTCGAGACGAGACTGGCTTTTGGTCTCGTCTCGTGAAGTCTCGACGAGACGAGACCAGACTCGGCGAGAGTCTCGTGTGGTCTCGAGTCTCGAGATTACACTAAAAATGTTTCTTTCATAAGTTTATTATTGGACTATTCTGGGCTATTTGAATATGAAATCAGTAAATTAAATATCAGGGTTACTCTTCACTGTGATTTTCCACTAATTGCTTTTTCACTGTGGCAGTTTGGACTTCCGTTATAATATAAAAACAAAAACCATAAATACAGGGTGTCCGAAAAATAGCGTAAAAATTCTCCACGTAGTAGAGGACCCTTTGAGAAACCCTAGAAAAATAATTAAATTTTTACGCTATTTTTTGGACACCCTGTATAACTCGAGACCAGACGAGACCACTCGAGACGAAACGAGACTTTGGTACTCGAGACCGAGACTAAATCACGGTCTCGTCTCGAGATGTCGAGACGAGACGAGACCAACCCTAAGTCTCGTCTTGTCTCGTCTCGCGGCACCACTACTCGAGAAATGTTCTCGCATTCTCTTCGAATCCTATTTTTCAAGGGGTGTGAGGTCAGGCGACCTTGGCGGCCATTCGATAGTTCCTCGCCTTCCAATCCACCTCCCTGGAAAAGTTCGATCCAGAAGACGTCTCACATGCACCGCATAATGTGGCGGTGCGCCATCTTGTTGATACCACAGATTTTCGTCAAACCTTTGAGGATTATTTCT